ATAAAATTGCACGCAAATGGACGATTTCATTAAGTATGAGAAAACAACTGAATACAAGCGAAAACATGGTTTCCCTCATAAACAGCACTTTTCTGTATTTACAAGGATTGTTTAACCACAATTTACTCGATGATCCAATATTTTTATTTTTCCATCATTGAAAAAAAAAACTCGTAATCAATAAATGGACATCAAAATACATAAACAATATCTAAATTTAACAATTATTATGATTTCATCTAACATATAAACGCATAAATAGGAATAATGATTCTTTTTCATTTCAGACAGCACATACATGAAGCTGCATTAAAACTATTTCTATCTAAGTTCACATAATTGCTCGAAATGATAAATTCGAATTACACAAATTCATATTACAATATACAGGGTGATACATTGAGTATGAGCAATCTCTGAACTACCGATGGTTAAATACCAAAATATGAAGATTTTGTCCACCATGCCTTGTAGAAAAGCTGCTGGTTCAAGAGATACAGGGTGTTCAAAGAGAACATTAATTTTAAAATTTTTCAATAACTCTCTGTTTTTTGTTGATTTTGTTAGTGGTTGTTATGATTATTTACTGCCTTTTTGTCATGAATACAGGGTGGTCCGGTTGTGTCACAATAAATTCAACACTGTGTTGTACTCGTTGAAATAACAAAAAAAAATTCATATATACAGTGTGTCCACCTTAAGGACTTACCACCCCTGTAGAATCGTTATTATCCGACCAATTTCAAAAAACCTTCCTTTGTTGGATAGGTATTTGAAATGCCCATCCAACGAAAGAGTGATCTAATTTTTGGACTGTTATCGTGGCCAACTGCGACAAATTTCAATGACCCATATTCCAGAAAGTACTATTAGGGATTTTTTTCCACGAAACTTGATGATCGATTCTGCATCAGTACCACTTGAAATATACCTGTACCGATTTTCATCATCATAGAACACAGGGTGTCCGAAAAAACGAATCATCATTTTCTTCAAATAGGTGATCAGCAAATGTAGTTCTGTGGTTTTTCTAGAAAGAAATAATCACAAATTATCATTGAGGATTATTTCAAATATACCTGTACCAATTTTCGTCATTTGGATATACAATGTGTCTGAGAAAAAAATTAAAAAGGATAGGTAAGCAATATTTTTCATCCTGATAATTCTTCACTCAGAATTAAAAGATGAATCAGGATCACTTGGAACATACCTGTACCGATTTTCATTATCATTAAACACAGGGTGTTCGAAAAATCGAATTAATATTTTTTTTGAGTTGATGAAAAAATATTGCCTACTTTATCTTTTTAATTGTTTTCTCATACACATCGTATTTTTGAACGATGAAAATCGGTACAGCGATATGTTCAAAGTGATCCTAAATAATAATGAGTCATCAATTCCTTTCAAAAATACCACAATACTACATTTTCTGATCACCTATTAAGAAAAAACATAATTCGTTTTTTCGGACACCCTGTGTTTTATGATGATAAAAATCAGTGAATGTGTTTTTCAAGTGATCGTGATTCAGAATCCATCATTGTTTTTGTGAAAAAATATCCCTAATAGTACTTTCTTAAATATGGGTCAATAAAGTTGGTCGCAGTTGGCCACGATTACAGTTCATGAGTAAAATCACTCTCTTGTTGGATGGACATTTCAAATACCTATCCAACAAAAAAAAGTTTTTTGAAATCGGTCAGATAATAACAATTTTATAGGGGTGGTAAGTCCTTAAGGTGGACACACTGTATACTTCAGAAGGCGTCGTTTTCGAGATATATGGTGTTGAAAATATGAGTCTGAATATTGTTTTTTTATGAAAAGTTCGAAACGGTTTGAGATGAATCAACAACATTTCTCACAGATACTGAACTATTTACGTTCCGTAACTAATCAAAATTAATAACTGGAAAAACACAATAAAATTTCAATTTACCTTCACCACCCCCGAATTCTGCTGCCACTGAATCACTTTATGAGACATTTTTTATTTCATCTTGAAGAGCGTGTAAAGTTTAGTACCTGTGAGAAATTTTCTTGATTTAGCTCAAACCATTTCGAACTTTTCATCAAAAAACAATATTCAGACTCGTATTTTCAACACCCCATATCTTGAAAACAACGCGTTTAAAACTATATGTTTATGAACGTTTTTTATTATTTCAACGAGTACAACACACTGTACAATTTTTTGTATTACAAACTGGACCACCCTGTATAATCGAAACACAGATTTTTTCGAGAGCAAATAACGCAAAAACCTTAATAGCTAGACAATTTACCCTTTACTATATACCCTTGGGAAACATGCCATGATTTTTCAGGCTGAAGTGTCAGCAACGAACAAAGTATGTCTTTTGTGGGTCCCTGGACCCTCAGGGGTACCGGGTAACGAAATGGCCGATGGTCTGGCCAGAAAGGGGGCAAAGGGTTCAGTGATTGGCCCAGAGCCAATCTTAGGGGTCACTCGATCCTGGAGCAACTTCAAGATGAAGGAAATCCTGACGGAAAGGTTTCAGGACAGCTGGAGAAAGGCTCCTGGAATGAGGCAGTCCAAACTCCATATAGGAAACCCGTCACGAAGAGAGACCAATGCCCTCTTGGCTTTGAACAGGAAAGAGCTGAAACTGGTGGTGGGCCTTCTGACAGGGCACTGCCACCTGAACAAACATCTCAGCACGATCGGGATTGTGGAGGATCCTAAATGCAGATGGTGCCTAGAGGATGAAGAGACTTCTACCCACATCCTCACTGAATGCCCGGCAGTAGTGGCAGCAAGGGATATCCATTTTGGGAGCAGTATCCTGGACCCAGAGGATGTTAAAAAGATTTGGCCTAGAAAGTTGGTCTCTTTTGCTCGCGAGATCGGCCTTCTTCATGGCTGACTTGCGATCCCAGGAATGTGGGTGCACAATGGGCCCGAAAAGGGAGGCCTAAGTGCGTCAGGTCTCGGACCGCCCACACACACATACATAGATACATACATACATACATAGACAATTTGGAAAAGAGTACAACGAGCTTTGATATTTCAACCATTATTCAATAAAAATAGTAGATTGTTTTATTAGGATCAAAAGTGACACTTTGTTTGACAAGCGAATTTTGCATTTGCGAGGCGGAGCGTTAAGTGAAGCCGAGCGAAAGCAGAATTTGCGAGTCGAACAAAGTCACGTTTGATCCGAATGAAACATGCTATTTTTTCTGCAACCGAAACAAATAACTCAAATGAATATGTGAAGTTACCACCAATACCGTGCCATATGTATGCAATGCAACAAATATTGAAAAATAATCCGTGTGGTGAGAATATTCTACCTGCATCAACAGCAGGTTCATTCAATTTTCAAGGATGTTCGCATTGTATTTTCAATATAAATACAATCACAGAGTGACATATATGTGTATGGACCAGGTGCTCTAATGGAAAATACCGCGTCAGTGCCAGTATAGAAACAAGACTTGGTAAATGTAAGGTTAAGGAGCACATCAACAATAAGAATAGCAATTATTTTTTCCTCTCCGTAATACAATGTTTGTCGCTTGATAATCAAATAAAGGTTAACAATATCGTTGTTTGAGACAAAAAACTATTGCTTGCCGTGATTATCCGAAAACAAGTTATCCATTCCGAGAATAACTAATGAAATACAGATCAAGCAAGTATTTGAATTTTGAAGGCTTCCCTGATCAAAACAAAAATACTTAACTGAGATGTTTATAATTCTAATACTAAACTATAATAAGGTGTATTTATATCTCCAGCATGGGTATGAAATGCCAAATCTGCTGAAATCGGAAACAAATCAGGTATGCCTCTCAACCCAAATAACCAACCGTCACAATGTTGTTTATTTTTGATGACGTCTAGTAGATCCTTTTTAGTTCCTAGGAGCTAAAGTGGAATTTTAGTTCCTAGGAACTAAAATTCAACTTTAGCTCCCAGGAACTAAATATGTTGCCCAGCAACATACCTATTTTTGTGTCAGTAATAGAAACGTCATTAAGAGCTAATTTTGGTATCAAAATGGACGACTTTTGTGTCGGTTGCAGAAAAAAGAACATATTATGTAATTTACTGAAGTTGTAGAGTGTCACTAGCACCCTCTATGAGCAATCACGAAAAAAGTTGAAAATTCGTATTTCTCATGTCAGAAAACCTGAAACTACCAAATTTCATGTTCATGCTGTTGAATCTTACAAAGTTATTGAGAAATTTTAAAATAAATACTTCTTCTTGAACACCCTAAATCTCCTGAACCAGCAATATTTTCATGAGAAATGTTGTACTGAATCTTTATATTTTGGTGTTTACTATTTGTAGTTCAGTGATCGCCCATTCTGTATAAATCACCCTGTATATCTTCACCTCCATTTTGAATTCCTGATAATCTGAGAGTAGTTTCATCAGAATATTGGAATCCAAAATTAGTCAGAAAGAATCAGAAACATAAAAACTTGATTCTGTTAGGTAGGCCAGTCATCTTAGATAGTAAATCAAATTAACAATAATTTCGAAAGTTTCTGAATTTAGCTACACTGAGAAAACAAAGAATCTCGACTTGCTGCACAATTCCCAAACCTCAAAACATCGTTAATATACAGGGTAACTCACGGTCGATGGTACGTTAGACGTTTATGGAGAACGGGACATAGGATCATTCTGAAATTTTGGTTACTCACGTAGTTGCTCTTGGTCTATCGATCTGAAATATTTTCAGCTCTGCAGCGTTGCCGCTTCTATCGAAAAGTAGCAACAACTTTGTTATTTTCAATGGAACACCCTGTATTTTATTGCATTTTCAGATTCTCTCTGAAGAGCTGATTTCATCGATGTATCATACTTGGGGTCTAGCGGAAATGATTACAGAGATATAGGGTGTGATAAATCGTCATTTTTCAACTTTAGGAATTTTTTTTGTCGAAACTATTCATTATTGGTCAAAACGGCTTACATGTCCCTATCTCAACTTTTGATCAACTATCTACTGACATTTAATTGAAACAAATACAAGGTCGTGCAGAATTCAGAATCTTGATTACCTGGTATATGTCCCAATTAAATATCAGTAGATAGTTAATCAAAAGTTGAGATAGGGACGTGTAAGCCGTTTTGACCAATAATGAATAGTTTCGACAAAAAAAATTCCTAAAGTTGAAAAATGACGATTTTTCACACCCTATATCTCTGTAATCATTTCCGCTAGACCCCAAGTGTGATACATCGATGAAATCAGCTCTTCAGAGAGAATCTGAAAATGCAATAAAATACAGGGTGTTCTATTTAAAATAACAAAGTTGTTGCTATTTTTCGATAGAAGCGGCAACGCCGCAGTGCTGAAAATATTTTAGATCGATAGACCAAGAGCAACCTCGTGAGTAACTAAAATTTCAGAATGATCCTATGTCCCGTTCTCCATAAACGTCTAACGTACCATCGACCGTGAGTTACCCTGTATTTATGACAGCTTGAAAACTTCCAAAATCATTGTGAACTGATTGAACTGAACGACTGAACTAAACGCAACAACTAAGTTTAGATATTTACAATGAAACCTAAAATAAACGTTAACTTAAGTACATTAAACTTATCAAGGAATGGCATGTGGAATGTATTCGTCGAAAATGATAACCCAACAAATCTCTAAGCACGTTTACAAACAGTAGCAGCCTTATATTTATCTAAAATTCGTGATTCTCAAAGAAGTCAAACAAGTGATAGAGTTGGAAAAAAGGGGAGGGGGGGGCAGTAATCTTGTAGCAAATTCTTCAGCTACCAGTATATCGATAAAGCTGCTACGACATTTTTCACTCTCACTTTTCTACCGAGTATTCATTTATAAAAAATATCTAATAAGGTATATCTAAGCCATACAAATTAGGTTAGAAATAGGTAGCAGGCGGTAATGGCAACATACATATATCTAATGAGTTGTATAGTCAGCACACTCAATACTTTGACATTTTGCATTTATCACCATGCTTTTGTGATATACAGGGTGAGTCATTGGAATGGGAAAGTGAGATAACGGCTTCGCTGTTTGAGACAGATGAACAAACATTTTTGTGATGATCTAGGCTCATGAACAGCACATTTCTGAAGTATTTCGCGTTATACAGGGTGACTCAAAAATGCGTGACGTATCAAAGTTATACTTTTTCTTAGGGGACACCCTGTATTTCATTGCATTTTCGGATTCTCCTTTGTGAGCTGATTTCATCAATGCATCACACTCGGGGTCTAGCGAGAATGATTACAGAGATATCGGGTGTTCAAAATCGAGATTTTCCAACTTCAGGATTCTTTTGTCGCGAAACTATTCATTATTGGCCAAGACGGCACATGTCTCTACCTTAAGCGTTGGTTTACTATCTACCGATATTTAATTCGAACGAATAATACTGGTAGTTCATGATTATGAATTTTGAACTACCCTGTATTTGTCTGAATTAAATATCAGTAGATAGTGAATCAAAAATCAAGATGGGGACATGTGAGTCATTTTACCAATAATCAATAGTTTCGATACAAGAAAATTCTAAAGTTGAAAAATCTCGATTTTGAACACCCTATATCTCTGTAATCATTCCTGCTAGATCCCGACTGTGATGTATTGATGGAATCAGCTCTCAAAGGAGAATCCGAAAATGCAATAAAATACAGGGTGTCCTTCAATAAAAAGTATAACTTTGATACGCCACCCATGTTTGAGTCACCTCGTATACGCAAAATAATTTAGAAATATGCTTCTTATGAGCCTAGACCATCACAAAAATTTGTATTCATCTATCTCAAACAGCGAAGCCGTTATGCCACTTTCTCATTTCAATGACTCACCCTGTATGACGGATGATTAAGGTATTAGCAGAGGAGAAGATTCCTTCTAGTCAAGCCAAATTCAATGGATCTGTATGCTTGAAAATTTCAGGCTACTTCTTGAATTCCACCCAGACTGGTATAACAAGGTACATAAAAGTTTTGCAACTTGGAGATATACAGGGTAACTCACGGTCCATGGTACGTTAGACGTTTATGGAGAACGGGACATAGGATCATTCTGAAATTTTGGTTACTCACGTAGTTGCTCTTGGTCTATCGATCTAAAATATTTTCAGCTCTGCGGCGTTGCCGCTTCTATCGAAAAGTAGCAACAACTTTGTTATTTCAAATAGAACACCCTGTAGTTTATTGCATTTTCAGATTCTCTCTGAAAAGCTGATTTCATCGATGTATCACACTTGGGGTCTAGCGGTAATGATTACAGAGATATAGGGTCTGAAAAATCGTCATTTTTCAACTTCAGGAATTTTTTTTTCGAAACTATTCATTATTGGTCAAAACGGCTTGCATGTCCCTATCTCAACTTTTGATTAACTATCTACTGATATTTAATTGGGACATATACCGGGTGATCAAGATTTTGAATTCTGCACCACCCTGTATTTGTTTCAATCAAATGTCAGTAGATAGTTGATCAAAAGTTGAGATAGGGACATGCGAGCCGTTTTGACCAATAAGAAATAGTTTCGACAAAAAAAAATTCTAAAGTTGAAGAATGTCGATTTTTCACACCCTATGTCTCTGTAATCATTTCCGCTAGACCCCAAGTGTGATACATCGATGAAATCAGCTCTTCAGAGAGGATCTGAAAATGCAATTAAATACAGGGTGTTCCATTTCAAATAACGAAGTTGTTGCTACTTTTCGATAGAAGCGGCAACGCCTCAGAGCTGAAAATATTTTAGATCGATAGACCAAGAGCAACTACGTGAGTAACCAAAATTTCAGAATGATCCTAGGTCCCGTTCTCCATAAACGTCTAACGTACCATCGACCGTGAGTTACCCTGTATTTTCCGAAAAAAGAAACAAACATGAAAAAAATGCTAAGAGATTTCAATGAATATTTCGAAGAAATACAGTGACTGATGTGAATGGACATCAGATATTCTAGGGACACGAATAGGACAACCTATGGATGTACCAAACGGGATGTCCATTCGACAACCACTGCGGAACATCTCCTGGATGTCCCAATCATGTTCTCCTACCGCAAAAAAGGACGTACCTAGGACATCCCTGTGTTGTACGGGGCTTCTCTCCATATCATGGAAGATGGAAGAGTCCCAGCTAGAAACTTCATTGGTGTAGTTTCCAATGGTTCTCAAGCAAATTCATGGCTGTTCAATGTTAGAATGAGGATATCTTTAGTTGAGTCAATCTTATTTCTATAGGATAGCTTTAATTTTGATTAATCTGATGAAATACGGATTAAAGAGTTGCAAGAACCTCAGTGAACTGTGAAGCGCGAAGAGTCCTGCAATATATCATTGTAGATAAATAAAAAATCAGCGGCGCATGAGATGATATAGACATCGACGTATATGCAACTAGGAGAAGGGGACGCACTTTGGCCTATCGAAATCGAACCTTCTTTACCGAATTCCGAGGTGAAATTCTATCTTTCTTCAGACTGAATGTGTCTTATTTGATCTCCCTTTGATGGCAAATAATTAGTTCTAGTTGCAGTGATTTTGTTGGATTTGATTTTTACCAGAAAATATTTCATGGCTGTCTTTTTCTCACTTGTTTAGATATATGTATGTGAAATTAAAGGGGTTTTAGATTTTTTGTTAATAGTCATTTGGGCGATCTGCGCTACCCTCAAGGTCTTGTTCAGCATCCTCACCGTCTTCATCGTCGCTAGCGTTTTCCACTGCGTTTGTGGAGATTTGCTTGTTGAAATCCACGGATTTTTTCACGTTGGAATCTGCATACGAAGAAGTCAAAAATAAGAAGTGAACAACTCGAGAATCTTGAAAGACATATACATACCACAATTTGGTTTTCCATGAGTACGGCTATTTGGAGATTCCACGCCATGTTTGTCAACACACCAGCACATCCCGATCGCCGCATGACATTGCACAGGATTATAGTAACCTTGGCTGTCGCAGTCTGGAACATAAACCCCTAGAAAAAAAAATCACCATCAGTCAAATATTCATCAACTCAACCACTGAAAAGTTCACTTTATTTTGACATCAAAGTCATAATCAGTAGGGATCACGTTGATTAGGCAACCCCCCTCTACCTTTTCTTCTTATGCACGAGGTGGGCGTACCCATGGGCGTGCCTGCAAAGGCAGAACGCTGAGAGAATGCGGTGTTGCCACGTACAGAGAGTATAACAGACGATACGGTATTCTGATCGTCGTGCTCTGATATAGTTTTGACACGGGCGATACACTTATTTTTAGTTCATCTGTTCGGACGTAGACGTGAACTGTAAGTGGAAACGAGTGAAGTGGAGTGAAAAATAATGAAGTAAGGTGAAATAGTGCGAAGTGGAAGTGAATAAACACTGTATATTATAAAATTTGTTATCTGTGCGCATTTACATCGAAATCACTTTTCGAATGATGCATCATTGAAATCGAGCTCATTATCGCCTTTGTGCCAAAGAAGGCAGTTTTTTAAAAATTTTCAAATATGCTTTATATCAACAGTAGAAACAATTATGTGTATTACGTACTTCAGAACAATGTGACCGTCTAAGAATCAATTGATATTATTTCAAATTAGAATACTTGCGGCCATGTATATATGTTGAGATTTGATTTTCATAATAACAGATGAACGTAGTAATCTTGAAGTCAGATCTCATAACATTCTGTGTAGAAGAAATTGCCGACACTTTTACGTCTCTATAGAAACACGACAAGTGCCCTTACGAGGGAAGAGTATCAACACTTGTCGAGAGGATTTTTCGGACTTAACATCTTGCCCAACTCGGCATGAATAGCTTATGGTAAAAAATCCAACAACATAATTATTCACCTATAACAACATATTTGTCAGAAATTTACTAGTTATAAACTTTCATGTAAGAGCAAAATACATAAGAAAAGATGAACGTGGCGGCACTGAAAAGTTATTTCCTAGTAGATGAGTAATAATAATCGATGTAGGACATATGTCATTCATCATTTTTGTTGTTATTAATGGTTTTCCAGCTATTGTGTGATACGTTTTCGGTGTTTCAGTAACTCTTTTTATATTGAAAATTCAAAACAGACTTGATGAATAAATATGGTTCGGCAGTGTCAAATCTATTGAGTTAGTTACAAGTATCCCAACCTGATTTTTCACAAGTAGGTACGTGGAAATGTGGGCTTGCATTTGTTGATGAAAAACGTGTTAGAAGTAAGACTTTACGAAATGACGTATTAGTATGTTACAAATTGACGAATTAATAAGTTATCACACGTGAGAGTTAATTTATGAATGCACATACACACATTTACAGAAATCCCAATTTATTAGATATTCTGAATGAATCTATTAAGAATATTAATTCTCTGGCAATAATTCCGCAGATATATCACCACCATTTATAGGCGTTTACGATTGACGTGTACTATTTAATGATTCATGAATACATCGCGGTGTCTAGCTATTGTTATTCAGTCTGAAGACTCACGATAACCTTTAAGTTAACAGAATGATCCGAGGTGCAACATCAATGTATGAAGCAATGAAAGAATAAACATATATGTCGACTGAGATTGCTCCACTTTCATAGTCTTCGTGATGAAATCGGGATAAACGGAGGATAGTAACATTTACGTCCCTATGAAAACACGACAGGTACCCTTACGAGGGGAGAGTATCGACACTTCAATCAGAGATTGCCGTAACTCACCCAGCAAGTCCCCGGCGATCTGACGCTTGACGGCTGCGCAGGGTCGCTCGGCGCGCTGGAAGCACCGGCACCACTCCGACGCCGTCACGGCGCCGTCGCGGTCGGCGTCGCAGCGGCGCAGGAAGGGCCGCAGGCACGCCTCGCTCTGGTCGTGCTCGAGGTCGTAGAGCTCCTGCGCCGACAGTCTGGCGTCGCCGTCGGCGTCCAGGTGCTGGAACATCCAGCGGGCCTCGCCCTTGCAGGCGGTCGGGAAGTGGACTGCAAGAGATAAAATGGAGTTTTTTCATCATAGGACAAGAGTGTCGCATTCAAGTTCGACTCAAGACGCAAAACCATCTACCGGGTGTACCACTAAGAAAGGACGCCGGCTGTATCTCGTATTTGCCGCACAGGTTTCGGAAAAAAATATGAATGATGAAAGTGGCCAAGAGAAATCTCTGGAAATTATTTTCAAGTTTCCAGGACAGCTCCTAGAGGGCGTAATTGCATTGGCCAGTTTAATAACCGGGTTTTTATGAAAATTTGATATATCAAGACATACCAAAAACACTTTTTTCATGTTCTCGAGTTGATTTCCAATCATTTCGATCAAAAAATTGCTGTAGCTCTTTAAATGAAAGTTAGGAGGAAAGCATGAATAGTACTTTGAAAAACTCACATTTCTACAGTTTGGTGTAACGGAATTCAACGATCTAGGTCTCATTATGAAGGGCATTATCATGTTTTGAATTGAAGGGTGATCCTTTTTCGTTCTTTCTCAACACAATGGTTCGACATTCAAGTTGATATCGTCTTTTTGAGAAAAGATACAAGTCTTTTAAGAAAGTGTGGATTTTTTGAATTTTCATCAACAATAATTTAGAACTCATAGAGCATCTTGGGGATGAACTCCAGAGGCTCATTCGCCTTAGTTCGGCCATGTCAGAGACTCTTCAAGAGCTTCGATTCGCCCTTCAAGGAGATTTTTAGGCACTTCTTCAAGACTACTTTAATTTGATCAAATCGATGCCACGGCGGTTGATTGCCTCGTTGAATGACTCGTTATTGACCATATTATTATACAGTTCTGCTTTTTGTTTGTTTTTGGAATTAAGATTGTTTTTGTAAGTCCTAAAAAAATTAGTTAGGAATATGTGATATCAATTCTTCGAGTTGTTATTCAATAAGTTTATGTAGGTTCTGGTTATTATTAAAACGAGTATTAATGAAATTTGAAAAATGCCATACTTAAAACACTTGTATCTTCTCTAGAAAATAAGATATTGCCGTTATTCAAAAGCTACTGTGTTAAGAAAGGATCACACTTAATTAAATCCGAAGCATAATGTAACCAATTGAGAGATACCAACATTTTTGAACTGAAATCAGTAATTTATAGTATAAAGAAGAAAAATGCATCAGGAGTTGATGAAATATCAGCGAACGTTTTCCAAAACCTTCCTGATTCAGCATTATCGGTTCTTGTAATGCTCATAAATAAATCATTTCGATGTGGAGAATTTCCTGCTTTTCTTAAACAATCTATAGTTATCCCTATTCATCAGGGTGGGGATTCATCAGATCCAAACAACTACAGCCCCATTGCTCTTATACCAACGTTAGCGAAAATAATTGAAAAACTGGTTAAAATCAGAGTGTTGGACTACTTAAAGAAAAATAATATATTGACAGAACAACAATTCGGATTCCAGCCAAAGAAAAGCACCAATGATGCCCTGTTTTCTTTCATGAATCAGGTGTACTCGAGCCTCAACAAAGGGGCAGCAGCTGCGGCAGTATTTTGTGATTTCTCCAAAGCTTTCGACTGCGTGAATCACGAAATATTGCTGCGGAAGCTGCAGCGATATGGTTTTATGAATAGAAGTCTGCACTGGTTCGAGACTTATCTCATCAATCGACAACAATCGGTTAAAACTAGCAGCGTCTCAAAGGCCTCAAACATAAAGCACGGAGTGCCACAAGGCTCAGTCCTTGGACCAATCCTTTACCTTCTCTACGTGAACGATATGGCTTCTCTAAATATAAACGGTACAATCACATTATTTGCTGATGACACAACCATCCTTTGGCAAGAAGAGAATAGCTCTATATTAGAATCAAATATAATGCAAGATATAAAGATTATCAAAGATTGTTGTGAATCAAACCTTCTTTCTCTAAATATTAGGAAAACCAAGTGTGTTTCTACTTATGACAATAAAGCATATTTTGAATTGAATTGAATTAGAAGTTCAACCACTCAATTTTGCCACAGGGCGTTAAGAAATGAAGGGTGAAATAGAGTGACTTTGGTATTTCCCTGTATAATGATCAAGTCATCAGCTTTTCACGGATGATAATATTCAGGCTAACAATCCAGAACATGAATATACGATGTGATCGAAATTTCACAAGAATCGGAGAAGGATTAAAAAAGTTACAGGGTGAATAATTCTGGCAATTTTTTTGGTGGCCGTTTTTTTTTTGCTTACCTTTCGATTTGTTCTTCATTCGTCTTCTCTTCGCCGAATCGGACATGACGACGGAAAACCAATCGAGCAGCCTGTTCCCCATCGCTTGCAGGGCCGCAGAAGAACATTGTTTGGGCGGGTAAATAGGGGTGCCCAGCAAGGGCCCGTTGTATATCTTGTTCTCCGTCACTTCGTTGTACCCGCGCAGCCTCTCCTTGTCCTCGGCATACAGAACGTTGTTCTTCTCCTTCAAACATAAAATTATCAGAACCCAGCAAACACATGTTTTTGAATGTATGATAAATTGATATTCATCATACAGGACGTGGAAAGAAATTCTGAATTGGAAAAACCTGATCACGAATCTGCGATTGAGGTCTATGAAAATAGCAAGTTTCCATCGTTCAAGTTTGAACCCCTTGATTGGGATACATATATAAAGAAAAACATTGAGAATTCGCATTCTTCATGTGATGAAAATATCATTTCTTTCTCGGTTTATTCAACAGAAAACAACTACTTTCCTGGCTTTTATGCCACGACCACGACGAACATTGCATTATATCTATCGAACACACACGTTAGGAATTCGAGAACGAAATCTTGTGAAGTAGAGAATTTGCATGATCCTTCATATATGCACATAATATCATAGTGACTATTAAACAGAAAACAACTACTTTCCTGGCTATTTGCCACGTCGAACATTGAATTATATCTGTTGAATATCCAAAAAGAGAGCATGAAAAATCAAAATCTTTTGATACGAATGATTTTTTGTTTGGAAGTTCCAAGCTCATCAAGATCAGAGTTCATACAAGTATACTCTTCTCCTATACATTTGAATTTTCATTTCAATACTGAACATATTGCTAAGTTATATTTTTATATCATAATACATCATATTATTCTATTCGATTTGAGAGATAGTGTCAATTCTCAATTTCAGAGGATTCTGATTTTTCATGCTCTCAATTTGGATATTCAACAGATATAATTCAATGATCGACGTGGCAAATTGCCAGGAAAGTAGTTGTTATCTGTAGAATATTCAGAATATTATGTGCATATATTTATATGGAGGAGAATGCAAATTCTCTACTTCAGAAGATTTTGTTCTCAAATTCTTATCGTGTGTGCTCAATAGATATAATTGAATGTTCGTCGTGGCATATAGCCAGGAAAGTACTTGTTTTCTGTTGAATAAACCGAGAAAGAATTAATATTTTTATCACATAGAGAATGCAAATTCTCAATGTATTTCTTCTCATATATATCCATTTTTTTGTGTTCATAAATATATCTGAGAATATTCCTTTTCCAAACACAGCTACATATCACGAAGATATCGCAGCGATGTGATAATTGTGACATAGACGTCACTGCGATATCAGAGGGATGGTATTTGGTCCCCCTCAAGTTTCAACCATACGACTTCGTTGCGATACGTTCTCTGAGATATAACAGCGATATATATTTCACAATATGATTGCAATATGTTATTTGTCTTGCAAAAGCGATGTGCTTTTGCGATAAAACATCGATGTGATGCGATAATAACACAGTAAAACGTGAAAAAGTTTCCTAAGACATGGTGTGATAGTACACCATTGTAACCTGACATATATTGGTCTGACAAGAGAATTTATCAGAACATGGGTTAAGGAACATTTTGAACTTTTGAGAGGTGGTAGAAATACAATCATAAACAACCAAAATCACGTGGTACAATATAAATTGTGTCATTGCGACTGATGATTTTTTTTTATGTTCTGGTTCCCACGAAAAGGAATATCCTGTAATGTTCAGAGAACATCGAGAAAACCAAGGGACAGAAGGTAGGAATTGGCGTTCTTCTTAAATTTCTGGAGGTAATATACCTCGGAGAACACCTCCCTTGGCAATGTGTTCCAGAGCCGCCTCGCTGTTCGTTGGATGAACGAGTCTTTGGAAAGAGATGTTCTGCAGGTCTTCAAAGTGACCACGAAGGGGTGAGAAGCCTCAACTCGACGGGTTAATCTCGCGGGGACTGCCAAGAGAGGAACAATAAATTATTGATATTTCAGAAGAACATCGTCAATGGAAATATCTATAAAATAGAGCCAGATTGCCAACTTTTCTACGGTGTTCCAGTGAAGTGAGTGAGTTTGTGAGCGAGGCATCACCCACGATTCGAATTGCCCTTTCTTGGACAGAATCCAACAGTTTCAGGGTATGTTTGAGTGCAGCACTCCAAATATGGAAACAGTATTCCAGGACAGGTCGGACTTGTGCCTTATAGATCATAAGCAGCTGACTAAAAGTGAAATAGCTCCTGGCACGAAACAGAAAACCAAGTTTCTGGGATGCATTTTCAGCAATTGATCTCACGTGATTTTCCCAAGAAAGGTTATTGCTGATAGTAATACCAAGCATCGAAATGGATGTCTTCAAAGGTATGGTTACTCCTGACAAGCTTATGTTGGACACAGTGAGATCGGCTTTTCTAGAGAAAAGGTATGGTGTGATAATACACTATTGTAGCCTGACAAATATTGGTCAGACAAGAAAATTCATCAAAACATATGTTAAGGAACATTTCGAACTTTTGAAGAGGTGGTAGAAATAGAATCATAAACATAACAAAAAAACTCACGTGGAACAATATAGAGTGTCAGTGCGACTGATGATAATAAGAAGAATCTTACCTTGTACGGGTTAGGGTTGTTTCACAAATGAGGCAAATGCAAAGGCGCGTTGGACAGTTTAATCTCAGCATACACCAATCTAAAATTGCGTAATCACATCAGTCCCGGCACATTACCTAACCTCAAACAAGCTCCAGAAAGGAATAGTAGAAGAAGAGAGACTCCTATACACAATAATAGTGACTTACCTAAAACCAGGCACCCTGGCTCATAGTAGCACACGCTATTATTCAACAGTTACACCCAAAGGCTTTTAGATTGCTTAATCCCAATCAGCACCAGACATCTTAAAGACGTACATTTTACCACTTACTTACGTCTTTACGTCCAGGGACGTATAAAGTACGTCTTTAAGATGTAAATCCACGTACATCTTAAAGACGTACACGAATTTACGTCTTTAAGACGTACATTTTAGGTCGTATCCACGTCGTTCCTCCCATGTCGTATAAAAGACGTCTTAAAGACGCACATTCCAGTACGTCAATTCGACTTATAGAACAATAATGTAAGTTATTTTCTGAAGAAAAACAAAATTTCATCTCTTCACGTTTTTTATTTTCAATTGTTCAGTTTTTTCTTATTTTCAACAAAAGTGATGTTTTTGAATTTTTTCATCCGACATTTTGGAGCCTTCGTGTTAGATTCTTTAATTTTTACAAAAAAATCATATTCTCCGACCCCAAGAGTCCCATAGTAATCAATTTTGAATAAAATCGGACTATAATCACAAAACTCGCCCGCCATTTTGAAGCTGACATCTTGGATTTTTCATTTTCGACAAAAGGAATTATAATCTCTGATTCCAATTTTGAATCAGATCAGACCATAATCAGAAAACCATATGCCACATCGTCCGCCATATTGGATCCGCCATTCTGTTTTTTCCATTCAATAATAATATCACAACGAATTGTCACCGGAATAATATTTACTTGCCAAATTTCGAATCGATCGGACGATTTAAAGTGAGTCAAATTTATCTTGCACGTTTTGATTACAAACAGACACAAGGACATGTTAAACTAAGTAAAAGCTTGTTATGTGATATATAGAACAAACAGAGTAACAGAAGAAGTGAATATGGCATAATCATCGAAGTCATCAAGCATCAAAGAGCGCGGTTAGTACTTGAATGGGTGACCGCTTGTGTCTACCGTTTGATGAAGTCGTTCATTTCCCTTTTTTTTTTGCTTGTCTGCACTTGTTGCTGACTTCAGTGCACAGGTGAAAATCAACTGAAACTATGTGATTTTTCCGTAATTTGATGGACCAAAAACACCTAAAAAAGACGTCTTAAAGAAGTACATATTAGTGGAAAATGTACGTTTTAAAGACGTCTTAAAGACATCTCTTAGGCGTAATATGTACGTCTTTAAGACGTACTTATGTCCCGACATGTACGTCTTAAAGACGCCTTTAAGACGTACTTTGGCTGATTGGGATGCGCATCAAATGGCTTCTCACAGCCTTATACGAAGTCCAAGCTTCAGCAGCAAGATCTTCGAGTTTGCAGGACAAAACGGCGCAAGAACCTACTGCGACTATCAATAATATTGAAATCTTACTCTCCGCGACATCTGAAGGAGAGTCAAACAAGGTAGGTAATGGTAAGGATACCGACTGATAAAAATCTAACGCGATACTTGATTAGCCGGACAGGTATCTGTAAGTTAATGATCTCCAATCGAGGTATTTTGGTACAACCTCGATTAGGCTGCTTCTAGGATGTCGGGTGAAGTAAATGACAAATCCCACATAAAACATTCCATCGCTGCTCGACTCACCTTATTGTACTTGGTGTACTTGATGTACTTGTAATGTTTGTTGTCGTATTTGAAGTCTTGCGGGGTGTATGCATAGGCGTCGGATTTGGTAGGGTTTCTGGATGGCTTGCCCCCACTTATGGATCCTCCCGAACCACTTTTGTCCAAGGTGGCCTTGTATTTGTTCATGAAAGTGTTCAATTTTTCTGACTGGTGTTGTTTTTTTCGCAGACGTTCGTCATTGTCTGGAAGAGCAACGAGAGATTCATAGACTCTTTGAGACAAGCATCGATTCTAACATTTTCTATTGATTTGTTCAGAGGTTATAGAGAGTATTGCCGAAGAATTTGGGGCGATGAATAAAATTAGGTGTTCTACGAGGCATAGTTACATTAATTACAAGTTACAAGAATAAATGGTTTTGAACATTTTTCAAAAAATGTGTGCTTCCACCATACTACCTCTTTCAAATATTATTGAACTTTAGGCAAAATTCTGAAAGTCACTGATACCTCAGGTATGTGATCTCGCCGGAAGCAAACGATTGGGTTGGGCTATTAACCTTTGATCAATGATTGAGGCAAACTTTGAAGCTCAATATCTTCCGAAATATATTTTTTTTTTTTACAAAAATGTATTCTTTCATTTCGTTTTGTTATTTGGTGTCCTATCATCCATTTCATTGATCGTCCCAATTTCGGAAATAACCAGTATAGGGCTTATTAAAACATCGCACCATGTCGCAAACTATAACTTCGTTATTATTTATTTCGGTTTGAAAAAATATATATTTGAAGACAAACTTTAAATGATGATGCAACAATATTAGATTGTTTTATTAGGATCAAAAGTGACACTTTGTTCGACAATTTCGCATTTGCGAGGCAGGGCGTCTAGCGAAGACGAGCGGAAGCAAAATTAGCGAGCCAAACAAAATCACTTTTGATCCGAATTAAACATGCTATTTTTTCTGCAACCGGAAGAATTAACTAAAATGAATATTTGAAGTATCCACCAATGTGACTTACTTGAGAAATTATGATGATACTTCTATTATAATAATATAGGTGAGTAGATAGAAGCAAGACATCAGACTACTTTACATTAGAATATTGGTAGACGATGACTTTACTTTGTCACAATTTGTGTTGACATGCATCTTCAGATACTACAGGCTCGAATTCAATACTATACCCGGAACGTGGATGCAGTGCCATTTGTATGCAATGCAACAAATAATTCGTTTGGTGAGAGGAAAAAGAAGTGGAAAATGCTAGGTTAGTAAGCATATCAATAATAGTAATGAAAGCGATTATTTATTTCTCTCCATATTCCACTGTGTTTGGCTCGGTAATCAAATGAAGTTGAAAAATATCGTTGTGTGAGATAAAAAAGTATTGCTCGCCGTAATTATTCAGGAACAAGTTATCCCATTAATCAGATTCCGAGAATGAATGAAATACAGATCAAGCAAGTATGTGAATCTTGAAGGTTTTTTTGATGAGAACAAAAATACTCAACAATTATAAGGTGTATTTATATCTCCAGCATGGGTATGCCAAATCTGCCCGAAATCGGGAACAAATCAAGTATGCGTCCCAACTCGAATAACCAACCATAACAATGTTGTTCATTCTTGATGACCTAGTACATCCTTTTCAGTTCCTAGGAGTTGAAGTTCAACTTTAGCTCCTAGGAACTAGAAGTGTTGCCTAGCAACATACCTATGTTTGTGTCAGTAATAAAAACATCAATTCAAGAGCTAATTTTGGAATTAAAATTGACGACTTTCGTGTCGATTGCAGAAAAAAATCATTAAAATTCCATTGCGTGCAAATTGTCTTATTGTTAGCCATGAAAAATGAAAAATTCATAAAGAACAAAGTTATATAAATAATAATTTTGAAAATGTTCCGACAATATTTCAACAATATTTCAAAATGTACTCAAGCTTGCTTGTTACCACATAATATAAAAAAACATATGATTTTATTACGAAATGGATAAAATTTATACTTAACCATCTACTGATTAATCCCTGTTGCTATTTTTATGATTTGATCGATAGTATTTTCAGAATTTCTAGATTTTTTTTGTTGTTTTCACCATATGTTATTTTTTCTGCAACCGACACAAAAGTCGTCCATTTTGATACCTAAATTAGCTCTTAAATTGACGTTTCTATTACTGACACAAAAATAGGTATGTTGCTAGGCAACATATTTAGTTCCTAGGAGCTAAAGTTGAATTTTAGTTCCTAGGAGCTAAAGTTGAACTTTAGTTCCTAGGAGCTAAAGTTGAACTTTAGCTCCTAGGAACTAAAATGGATGTACTGTACGTCATCTAGAATAAACAACATTGTGACGGTTGGTTATTTGGGTTGAGACGCATACCTGATTTGTTTCCGATTTCGGCAGATTTGGCATTTCATACCGATGCTGGAGATGTAAATACACCTTATTATAATTAAGTATTGGAATTATAAACATCTCAGTTGAGTATTTTTGTTTCGATCAGGGAAGCCTTCAAGATTCAAATACTTGCTTGATCTGAATTTCATTCGTTATTCTCATGATGGATAACTTGTTTTTGAATAATCATGGAAAGCAATAGTTTTTTTGTCTCAAACAACGATATTGTTTAGCTTCATTTGATTATCAAGTCAAACACAGTGTAGGTAGTATGGAGTGGAGAGGAATAAATAATCACTATTATTATTGTTGATATGCTCACCACTAACCTAACATATTCCACGTCTTGTTCCTATAGCTGGCACTGGCGCGGTATTTGCCATTAGAGCACCTGGTCCTTACACAAATATGTCACTCTGTGATTATATTTATATTGAAACTACAATTCGAATATCCTTGAAAATTCAATGAACCTGCTGTTGATGCAGGTAGAATGTTCTCACCACACGGATTATTTGTCAATATTTGTTGCATTGCATACATATGGCACGGCATTGGTGGTAACTTCACACGGTTGCAGAAAAAATAGCATGTTTCATTCGGATCAAAAGTGACTTTGTTCGACTCGCAAATTTTGCTTTCGCTCGGCTTCGCTAAACGCTCCGCCTCACAAATGCAAAATTCGCTTGTCAAACAAAGTGTCACTTTTGATCCTAATAAAACAATCTACTATTATTATAGTTGTTGTAATCAACTTCCTCATACCAGAAATTTATTTCTCAAAAAATAATAAACAATATCCTAGGAAAAAATCAGTATGAATAAAAAATATCACGAATCAATAGGGAATTTTGGCAACTCTGGTCAAACTCAGTCATCCCCGAACTTACCGATTGCATTTTTGCTACCACCGTCCCGCTTTGAACTAAATGTCGCATTACCTTGGCAGGGACAGAAGCCCTTGCAGCCCACCCTTATACCGCTGCGGTGGATGCAGTTGTGGTAGTCCAGTCTGCACAAAGAACTGTATGTTCGGTTGTCAGAACCGCACAAGAAAATGGGCTTCACCACAGGGCAAGGTTTGCACCTGCAAAACAAGCATTTATATACAGGGTGTCCAAGATAAGATTGAACAGCATAGGGATCTCGGAAACCGTGAGAGATACGAAGTCGTTCAAATCGGGAAAAAGTTGCGCATTCGGAGGCTCCTATCAAGAGCCTTCGAAAATTTTGAAAATTATTTTTAGTTTTTGAGTTATATCGAAAAAAGTGAATTTTTGGAATATCTTTTTATTTTTTTTTCTCCGTTATTATTAGAGATACAGCAAAACTGAGAATACTTTTTAATAGCAACTTTTGATGACGTTCAACGTGGTGATACCGATTTTTTTATGCAACGTTTCGTATCCGTAGGACCATCATCAACTGTTGTTTTTTAAATACGGTCCTGATAATTTTTTCACAGATTCTGAAAGGTTTTTTCATTCTGAATTCAACCTATTATATGAAGTGATTCGAATGTGTTTCGACCTATTTCTATCCATCATCAATGTTTTTTCGAACTTCCAAAGGAAAAAAGTCATCAGTTCCACTCATTTCTGATCATTTAGTGTCAAACTTGATGGATTAGTTATTCAATACTGAAAAGTGAATGAAAAATATTTCATAACATCATCCGATCAATGCAGCGCTTAAAATTGTTGATGAATTCTTACACGAATTACTTTTAACAACTTAACTTTGACAATACCTACAGATAACCACGTCAAGATCTGTAAGAAAGAATTGAACATCTGTTGGATGATCTCGTAGCTGATCCTTAACCGTTGAGGAGATTGATGCATTCTTTGAAAAAAGCCCAGGTAACAAGCTGACGTCATTTGTACGTCAATATATGGTCATTGACGTCATATGATCTCAAAATGACGTCATTTTGACGTACTTAATATGACGTTATATAGACGTCCTTGATATGTCGTCAATATGACGTCATCTGATGGTCATTTTCATGACTAATTATGACCATCATTTATTGAGTCATCTACATCAAGGAAAATTCATAATCAAGAAGTTTTCCATCTCTGTTATATGAAAACGTTAGTAGTTATGTTATATAACATATATTATCATGTCACTCATCATATATTATGCTTTATAATAATTTTTCCTCAAATCTGTGCGAGATTTGTGTTTTCGATGTTCTCTGAGATAATTGTTAATTATATACCTTCTGTGCAAAGTATTCTCCCTATAGCTATTAAAAATATAAGACCGAATGTCACGTCATAAAACTCTTATAATGTTGTTATTCCAGAATGCAAATTCAAATCAGAGCGGGAGAGTGCGTAGAGAACTGTATTTGATTGGTCAGCACGGACCTTGCGCAGACATGCGAACGTCGACCGCCAGCGCCAAGCCACGCCACGCCACAGCACGGCTGTGGCACACACTTTCGCTATTCGCTTTGCCGTTGCGGCCATGATGACCATAACAACAAAATAACAATACATAGAAGGCCATCATTATCATGTTATTCGGCTATCTATGTGGTGTGGTGTGGTGGTCATACTTATTCATATTCATATATCAAGTAGTAGAATTTGAGGATGGCAGCGTGGTCATTATTTTAGACAAGTGGTGTATACCGAAAAAGCAGAATGTGAATTGGACGCCATTGAAGGAATACCATAGGGTTCTGAGAAATCTCTTGAGTGCATATATATCATCCGAATGGGATAAGTTCCCAATAAAAAGAACATTTTATGAAACTGGTATTTATAGTACCTACCTATAATATTATTTTGCATTTAATGTGGTGAAGGAATATCAATATAATTATACATAAAAAATCTCATATTTTCTGATAATATTGATACAACCCTAATGCAACAGTGTTTTTTTACCTACAGAAAATTTCGAAATAGCACGAAATAAAACTGAAACATGCAGAAGATTTCGGTGATATAAATAATCGTAAAGATCACGTCATTTTGACGCCATTAGGATGTCGTCATTTTGACGTCATTAGGATGACGTCATTCGTCTTTGACTTAGAAGGTCATATAAACGTCATTATGACGTCATTTTGGAAGTCATCCTGACGTCAGGTCTGACGTGATAATGACGTAAAAATGACGTCAGCTTGTTACCTGGGAGGATCGAATTGTGTATTCGTGAAAAGTGAAAACGGAGGACATTTTGGACACTTACTCTAACTAGTCAAATTTAATTAAATATTTTCTGATGTGATTTTGTTCAATCGATAATTTCAGCAGTAAAATAATGTTAATGTTTCTGGTCCTAAATAAATAGATAATTGTTTTTTATAAGACTTATTCTGATACTAGAATCAGAGTTATTGATGCTTCAACATTTTCAAATCGAAATATTTCGAAATCGGTACGCAGTATCAAGTTTTACCAGGAGCAACATTTTGATGTGAAATTGAAAGGTGTTCAAGTCAACATTGAATTTAGACTGAAACATCTTACCTCTAAAAAGTTATGTTCAAAAGTACTCGGTACGAACCGTGTAACTAGCGCCCTCTATGGGTGTCAGATATAAAAACAAATTTATGCGGTGTGTCAGCTTTCAGAACACATCCATACGAAATTTCATCATTATGTTGTCAGTAGTTTCGACATAATCTTGAAAAATGTGTAAAATAATAATTTTTCAACACCTTGTACCTCGAAACCGGATGCCGCTACGAAATTTTTTCACTGAGCAAACCCAACTCATTTTGCAATGTTCTACCTACCCTAGCAAGGGGGTTAGGTTTTTTTGAAACACCCTGTATACACAATTTGTAATTTTCGTTTTTATTTTTTCTAGCGAAAACCAAAAGATACCTACACGTTTCTGACTATAGGACATTCTAAGGAATCTGAATCTGTCATCGTATTTTCCATGACGGACATGTCTAATATCAGAATAAATTATCATTGAAAGTTTTTCCCATATGATGACAACTTCATGAAAGAAACTTCAATTTCAAAGTTCCTCTGATATTAAAATAGTTGCAGGAGATAACGAAAATATATAAGGGGAAAATTAGGGTTTCCTGGATCTTTACTCACACTATAGAATCTGTAGATTCATCACTTTCATTTTCAGGATCATCTTCGCTATCATAGAATACATCGTCATCTTCTTCTTTTGATTCTTCAGTTACGCTTGCAGATTTAGGAATAACGATATCTCTGAAATAATTTGAAATATTATCATATTCAACTTTTCAATGTATTTCAATAGTACATTTCATCTAGAGCGGTATTTATACCGTATTATCAAATAATATAATATGTCAAAGTAGTCAAGGTTTACTTCTTCATTCACATCCGAAGTTTGAAAGATTTCAAATTGCCAAAAAATAAAAAAAGTAGGTAATCAACATTACTTGCTTTTTCAGATTTTTATCAATGAGAACAAATCAACAAAAAATCACGATATCACGTTACCAAGTTCATAATCTTAGGTTTTAGGCACAGAGTCAAAGTACAATTCATTGCTGGATTTGATATATTGAAAAAATGTGTATGCATTTTAGTAGTTGGCAACAAGGTTTCTGAACCAAAAGTGGTAACATGGTATTTTGGTTTAGAACTCCCATAGCATAATTTCTGATTTCAGAGTTATCAAAATTCGTATTGGGCGGAAAAAAAAGTCTATTAACCGACTTTGGAACGCCACTGGCGTCCCCAATTCCCCGCTTTTCATTTATTTTTCCCCAGGCGCACTTACCCATTTTTCTTCAGCTCTTTCCTGGATACACAAACGGAAGTGAATGCGTCCTCTAACAAACATATTTCTTTCTTTTCACAATTTAGCGGTCGACACAAGTCACCTGGAATTATTCAAAGAAAAGGAAATAATAATAAATTTCAAGATACTCGAAGTTAGACAGCGATGATGAAGAAGTTGAATTTTGGAGAAAATATAAGTACCTACTACTGATAATTCAGCTTTATGAGATACCATAACATGAGATATATTGGGCAAACGAGTAAAAGTATAGGTAAGACATTTAAAGAACATATTGTTCATTTCAGATGTAATCAGTTATAAATATTTTGTAATTGAAAAATCATGAGCACTTCAAAAAATGAAAAATGACTCCAAGTATTGTTTCATAATATCTGTGGTTTCATCATGTACGTTACGTAGAAAGGTACATTTACTTACTTGATGGATCATGAATCCAAGTTTTCTTTTGTCCGGATTTATTCGACCTAATTTCATCCTGGAAACGAAAGAAAAAACGTTATTCACTGAATGAAATCTTGGATAATTCCTGAGTATTTTGATTTTTTCTTATGGACTACAGACTAACGATTAACTGTACCTACCACCTACCTACTGTATTTTGTCTCCAAAAAACGAACGAGATAAGTAAGAATTTATTGGACGAAAATTTTGTATTCTAAGAGGGTTCTTCATTTCATTCGAACAACTAGTGCTATGTACGCTCCTGGAGTTTCTGGATCGATTTTTTTTAGTCCAGCTGATGCCTGAAGATCGTTTGAATTTACTGACAATGTCATTTGAATCAGATGAGGCGTTTTTGATCTATCAATGAAAAACTCTGAAAATATATCAAAATCAAGCATTTCCAGACTCAATTAATCACCCTGTATATGAACTTTTTTATTTATTTTTCTTAGTGGAATGTCCTTTAGGCTTTGGTCAGTACCATGTGAGTTAATTCAGTTTTCTATTCGAAATAAGGAAGTTGGTACCGACTTTTATATAGTATTGGGGCCAAAAATCTTATATAGATATAGAAATCTACAGAGTGTATCTTAATGAAGCGGCGTTTCTTGTGAAATTCTAGCAAATGAAGTTCACATAAACATGATTGTGTCCTAACTTGCTCCGTTTTTGAGATACAGGATGTTGAAGTTGGAAGTATTGTTTTTATTTATAACTCCCCTGTATGAGCTTTCATGGTGCGAAAATTCAGTAATGATAGAGACTGAGAAAGCCCAAAAATTTCAGAATGATTATGATTGGGGTTATTGAGTAATCTCAATGGAGGTCTTGAAAACACCTATACATTAAAATTTTGAGTCAAATCGAATTTTTATTGTTTCCTCAAAAACTAAGATAGATACAGAAATCACACATAGGATAAAAAAGTTGTAATTTCAATAGTTCAATCTAATAAAAATATGAAACTCAGAAAAACCAGTGGTGTACAATGACATTCACCATGAATATCGATAAATTTACCCACTGTGATGCCACTGGAAATATTATTTCGAATCTAATTGTACTAGAAGAAGCATCATATTACTATAAACAGAACCACAACGTTTTATTGAAATTGATGAATAGACAATTGAGGAATGAATAGAAAAAAGATTTTTCATGGATATATCAATACCCTGTATCTCGAAAACGAAGCAAGTTTGGACACATGTTCATTTGAACTTTGTTTCCTGAAATATCACAAGTTTTCAGTCTCATTTAGATACACCCTGTATGATCTACAACATCCGTGTCCCAAATTTCAAGCTTTTATTCCAACTAAAGTTGAAAAATCCTGTAAATGCCCGGTGAATCACCCTGTAATACAGCCCGTAGTTCAATTCGTCTCTCTGAGCAGGTGGAATTCTCACACATATACGCTAGTAATGTCCCAAAGGGCATTGTGTGGCCTCAGTAATTCACCATTGTGAGATGACTCGCTTCAAGCGATGTAATTTATTCATTTTGAACGTATAGCATAGCATATAGTAGAGTAGTATTCTAGAATTGTGGGTAGGTAGCTCGTGAACAGGGTGATTGTTTATTTTCTACTTAACAGCTAGCTCAGTTGATGTTGGTCTTTTTTTTATGTTCTGGTACCCACGAAAAGGGATATCCTGTAATGTTCAGAGAACATCGTCAAAACCAAGGGAAATTAGGTAGGAATTGGTGTTCACCTTAAATTTCTGGAGGTTATATGCCTCGGGGATCACCTCCCTTGGCAATGTGTTCCAGAGCCGCGCTGTTCGTTGGATGAACGAGTCTTTGGAAAGAGATGTTCTGCAGGTATCCACAGTGACCACGAAGAGATGCGAAGCCTCAACTCGACGGGTTAATCTCGCGAGGACTGCCAAGGGAGGAACAATTGTTGATATTTCAGAAGAGCATCGTCCATGAAAATATCTATAAGATAGAGCCAGATCGCCAACTTTTCTACGGTGTTCCAGAGAAGTTTGTGAGTTTGTGGGTGAGGCATCACCCACGAGACGAATTATTGCCCTTTTTTGGACAGAATCCAACAGTTTCAGGGTATGTTTGGGTGCAGCACTCCAAATATGGGAAGAGTATTCCAGAACAGGTCGGATCTGTGCCTTATAGATCATAAGCAGCTGACTGGAAATGAAATAGCTCCTGGCCCGAAACAGAAAACCAAGTTTTTGGGATGCACTTTTAGCAATCGATCTCACGTGATTTTCCCAAGAAAGGTTATTGCTGATAGAAATACCAAGCATCGAAATGAATGTCTTCGAAGGTATGGTTACTTCTGACAAGCTTATGTTGGTCACAGTAAGATCGGCTTTTCTAATAGAGGAAAGGCATGCTTGTATTTTGTTTGAATTGAAATCTACCAAGTTAATGCATCCCCGTTCGAGAATTGTTGCCAAGTCCATATTTATGTTGTCAATATTTCTCCCTCGTTCGTTTCTGATTTGCCTTGCTGGTATTGGAGCCCTGGAAGAGAATAAGGCAGTATGGAGGGTACTATCATCCGCGAAGCTGTGTACTGGACTTGAAGTTGCTTCCAATAAATCGTTGTCATTTCAAACAGACTGTTTTGTTGAACAGAACTCGCAGATACATCATATCAAACATATATTTTGTCGAATGATTGTCTAGTGGCATTTTCGCCAGCAGGTGGCGTTTCTTCCCATCGTCATATGCTCGCTTCGATTGGGGTGTACATATACCTACCTAGAACATCCGTTTATATGATTATATCAAGCTGTCCTAGAATTTCTAATGACGCTTATACACGCAGTCTGAATCAACTGAGGAAATTAATCTCTAATTTTGAAACTCAGTTATTGGATTTTTTTTGAATATTCAACAATTTTGTCACTTGAATGAAATGATATGGTCATTCCAATAAACAAAATCTGCTCATTAGAGCAGATATTTCATTATAGGAACAAATTAGTCTTTGTTTATTCAACCAATTCCTGCTGTCAATTTGAATCATAAATTAGTTAAATCAAATGAATTTCAAGTTGAAAATTGACAAAGATTTTGTATTTGAATTCTTTTTTCTGTGGAAATGTACAGGTTGATCGCCCAGTATTGCTCTCGTTCGTGATTTAACTATGCTTGTACAGCAGGAGATTACTGTATTGATGTTTCATGCTTTTTTCCTGTTTTTGCCCGATATAATCCAATAAATTATTGCTATAATCACATTAGTTTTCATTGGAGTCAGAGCCAGTTTTTGCTAAATTCTTTTAGAATCCATATAGCAGTTGGCATCCATCTGTAAAATCCACGGTGGAATCGATAATCCCAAGAACGGAGGTTTTCGATTTTTCCTATAAATAGATGAATTGATGACATCATAAGTAGTAGGGTGGGGCACAGTAACAAATATAAGCAGGTGTAGATAGATGATATTTTTGAATTAGGACTATAGTCCAGTCATTCTATCCAAATAACGGACCTTACCCGTGAATAATTTTTTAGTGTTTTTTTCCATAGGTGTCTGGGGGGGGTCACTGGGAGTGTAAATTCAAAATGGCGACCAAATCAAGCTTTTGCGTATGTTTTTTTTTTGTTAAAAAACGGTTTTTCTTGAATAACTCGGCCATTTTTGATTCTACAGAAAAAGTTTGGGGACAAAAATTGTAGTAAATTTGGTTCTCTACAAGTTTGGTCCCTACAATTTTTCTGATAGGATCGATATTTTGTAAATTAAACCTAAAAAAAGCGACAAATTCAATATTTTCATTATCTCGTTTATTTTCAACTTTACGGCATAAATGAACAGAAACAAACTTGTAGAGAATCAAATTTTGGACAAATTTTTACTCCACCTGTTTTTCCGAAAATCGATATTTTCGGAATTAAACCTAAAAAAAACGGCTCGTTCGAAATATCATCATTACCTATCTCGTTTATTCTCAACTTTACACCATAAATGAGAAGAAACAAACTTGTAGAGAATCAAATTTTGGACAAATTTGGTCTTCACCTGTTTTTCGGAATTTAACCAGAAAATATGTACACACTGAAATGTTCTGTCTTATGCCACAACTGCGCTGGGCAGACTTGCGATAACGTCACACAATTGCGAGCCGTCGATGACAAAGACAGTGATGATGACAACGACATCGACGATCCCGCACCATTAACACTGAACCTTAAGGAAAGTGAAACTGGACATTACCAATTGACCGAAGAAGAAAGAGAGGATATGGATTTGGCAGGACCATCAGCTAAGAAACCCAAAAAAAAAATAGTTCCGGAACCATATTTTCACACCGACATGACAGACAAGCTACCTGCGCGGAATAACCTCTTCATTTATGCCGTAAAATGTGAAGCATTGGAGATAATGATAATCTTTCGAATTTGTCGCTTTTTTCAAGTTTAATTCCCAAAATATCGATTTTTGGATCAAAAACGTGGTAACCAAAATTGTTTAGAATTTGATTCTCCACAAGTTTAGTCCTCTTCATTTATGCCGTAAAGTTGAAAATATACGAGATAATGAAAATATTTCGAATTTGTCGCTTTTTTTCAGGTTTAATTTACAAAATATCGATCCTATCAGAAGAATTGTAGGGACCAAACTTGTAGAGAACCAAATTTACTACAATTTTTGTTCCTAAACTTTTTCTGTGGAATCAAAAATTGCCGAGTTATTCAAGAAAAACCGTTTTTTAACAAAAAAAAACGCAAAAGCTTGATTTGGTCGCCATTTTGAATATACACTCCCAGTGACTCCCCCGAGACACCTATGAAAAAAAAAACCACTAAAAAATTATTCACGGGGCAAAGTCTATAATGACTGGACTACTAGGAGGATAAGCAATCGATTGAGTCAAATTGATTGAAGATTTCACAGAAAACTGAATACCCACAAGTATTTTTTCTATTAGCTTGCGGAAGAATCCCCTTTTCCGCACTCGTTTTGAGTGCGAAAATGAGTGAGGAAAAGAGAATTTTTTTCGCGCTCATTTTAGTGTTGAAAGAGTCCTTTTCCGCACTAGTGAATTTTTCTTG